GAACACGGTCGCACGGAAGAATGCCCCGCAAAAGGACGTCATTGTAACAAATGCAAAAAGCCCAACCACTTTGCTAATATGTGTAGGACAAAAACACAGTATCAGCCATCAAAATACAAGCCCAAGAAAGTCCATGCTGTTTCAGCACCAGTGGATCTGTACATTGACACTATTATAAAAAAGCATGAAAATACAACAAGGGAACAGGCATTTGCAGAGGTAGAAATAGGAAAAGCGAAGCACAAGCTAAAGCTCAAGATAGATACAGGTGCCCAGGCTAATGTGATACCAGTGAACATATTTCACAAAATATTAGGGAGTATTAGGTCCGTCAGACAGCAACATCTCAGGATATGGTGGACAGAGACTTGAAGTAAAAGGAGCTTGCAAGTTAGCATGTTTAGACCTAAACTTGGTCAAGCTAGTGCACATGGTTGACGCACAACCAAAAACACACACCAGCATCACAGAAGAGTTTGCTGACGTATTTAAAGGCATTGGACTGTTCCCTGGAGAATGCACCTTTCGCCTTAAACCCTCAGCAATACCAGTGGTGTGCCCACCTCGCCGTATCCCATATGCCCTGAGCAACCGACTCAAAGATGAGCTTGACGAAATGGAAAAAATGGATATAATCCAAAAGGTAACAGAGCCGACTGAGTGGGTGAATGCACTAGTGGCAGTGGAAAAGCCGAAAACAGGAAAGCTTAGGGTGTGTTTAGATCCCCGCCCCCTAAACAAAGCTATCCAGAGACCCCACTATCCACTTCCCACTCTAGATGATGTCACACCAAGACTAGCGCAGTACTTCAGTGTACGGGACGCTAGATCTGGATACTGGACGATAAAACTCAGCCAGGAATCATCCATGCTGACCACGTTCAACACCATCTACGGCAGATATTGGTTCAAAAGGCTCCCTTTCGGAATCATTTCTGCTCAGGATGAGTTTTCAGAGTGTCGCAGCCATCGTAGATGACATTTTGGTGTATGGCCGCACCAAAGAGGAGCACGATGCCAACCTGCGCGCCATGCTGGAGAGAACCAGAGAGAGAGGAATAAAGCTAAACAAAGACAAAAGCATCATCTGTGTCTCTGAGGTGAGCTATTTTGGACATAGACTGACACGAGAAGGCATCAAGCCCGACCCTAACAAGGTCAAGGCAATTAAAGGAATGGCTCCCCCATGCAGCAAAGCAGAGCTGGAGACCATACTGGCCATGGTCACCTACCTCTCCAAGTTTGCACCCAGACTTTCAGAGACAATTGCCCCGCTCAGACAACTGCTGAAAGAGAACAGTGAATTCACGTGGGACTCAAATCAAGACGTTGCATTCCAGCAAATGAAAGACCTGCTGACACAGGAGCCCGGCCCAGTGCTCACATACTTCGACCACACCAAAGATGTGAAACTACAAGTCGATGCATCAAAATGTGGCTTAGGAGCAGTCTTGCTCCAGGGAGAGAAACCAGTCGCATACGCATCCAAGACACAAAATGAGACTGAAGAAAATTACGCTCAAATCGAAAAGGAGCTGAACGCAGTGCTGTTTGGATGCAGATGCTTTCATCAATATCTGCACGGACGACAGGTGATCGTCGAGTCAGACCACAAACCGCTGGAGTCAATCATGCGGAAACCCTTGGCAGCCACACCGCCACGCCTACAACGCATGATACTGCAACTACAAAGGTACGACATTACCATTACACACAAGCCTGGAAAACAAATCCCGGTCGCAGACACGCTGTCCAGAAAGCCGATTGAGTGTGCTGATAACTCTTTGAGTGAAGGCATGGATTTACAAATCCACACGGTGATCAGCAGTGTGCCGGTGAGTGATCGCAAAATGGCAGAAATCAAAGCTGCCACAGCACAAGATGAGCAACTCTCAATGTTGAGACAAGTTATCCAAGCAGGATGGCCTGAGTCAAACAAAAGGTGTCCGCCTGCTGTCGCTGAGTATTGGAATCATCGGGATGAGATATCAGAGACAAACGGGATCCTGTTCAAAGGTGAAAAAATCATTGTGCCACACTCACTCAGAGCTGAAATGCTTTCACGCATACACACTGGACACTTAGGGATGGAAAAGTGTAAGAATGTAAGAAGCGAGCAAGAGACGTAGTGTTCTGGCCCGGAATGTGCAAACGGGTAGAGGCACTAGTAGGATATTGCAGCATCTGCCTTGAGCGACGCAGCTCCAATACAAAGGAACCGATGCTCTCGCATCCTATCCTGGAACGACCTTGGCAAACGATAGCCACAGACTTGTTCACCTGGCACAGTACTGACTATATAGTTGTTGTTGACTATTATAGCAGGTACTTTGAGGTAGAAAAAAATCACCAACCTCACATCCATGTTCGCCAGATTTGGAATACCCCAGACAGTAATCAGTGACAATGGACCCTGTTACAGTTCACAAGAGTTCAGAGTTTTTGCTCACGCATGGGACTTTGAGCATACCCGCAGAGTAACGGTTTGGCTGAAAAGACTGTTCAGACTGTCAAAGCCCTCATGGACAAAGCACATGCACAGCGGACAGACCCGTACCTCAGTTTACTGGAATACAGGAACACACCAGTTGATGGACTGAAGTCGCCAGCGCAGCTGCTAATGAGCAGGCGTCTGTCGCAGCGCAGTTCACAGCAGAAGGCAACTGTGCCAACAGAGACAAAAACAATACTACGACAGGAATGCTAGGACACTACCGGCACTACCAGAAGGAGCTATGGTCCGTTTCCAGCTTCCCAAAGGGACATGGGAACCCACAAGTCGAGCCAGCAGGTACCCAGAGGTCCTACAACATTTGCACTGATGGAGGTCACATGCTCAGGCGTAACCAGCGTCACCTCCTGCAGATGTGTGAAAGTGGCGCAAGCCAGGTGCTTCCACCAAACAACCACCAGGTGGAGCCTGAGGACACTGAGTCTCAAACAGTACAGCAGGACCCTGCAGGTCATACAGGTCCCAAACAGCCACCAGACTGTAGTACCACCAGATCAGGCCGCATAGTGAAGCCTAGAGACATATTAGACTTGTGATACCCAACAGGAAAAGAACTGAAAGATATATTCATGGAAATAAAGTGTTTAAGTTTGAAATAGTTGAAATGCCGTTTAGACATGAACTGTTGATGAGAAAATTGTTTTCATATTTCCTTCAGTAACAGTGTTATTGCAGATTTGGCATACATGGCTGCCTATATGCAGTTTTTCTGACATGTTTAAATACATAATGTTTACTATTTCATTTGGTAGCTATAGCCATGTTTTGTTTCAAAAGAAGGGGGATGTAGTATCTTGGATACTTCCGGTTCATGGAACCGTCACGTTGTGATGATGTCACCGATGTGCGCCAGTGAGTGTAAAATACGATACGAATAAAGATGGACGCTCACCGCGCCCTATGAGACAAACTGGTATCATTCGTTTTACTTAGACACTTACATGTCGGTAGAAACAGAATATTACAGTCCACTTTTGAGGTATTTGTGCTTTACTGAGTATTTTTACTTTATGCTACGTTATATTTCATTTCAATACATTTATTTATCAAATATTGTTACTAGTTACCTTTCAGATTTGACATTTTTAGAATCATACAACACAATGAATTGTTACACGCTTAACTGTATAAAAGTCATGAAAGAGCCGTGTTTTGTTTACAATTTGTTGTATTATTCATTGCATTGGGGATATATTTTGTTTTATTTTAGTTGTGGTACAATCTATTTTTTCATCATTGGATAGCGGACCAGGGAGAGTAGCTACAGCCTGCAGAAGTGCATGTTGAAGTGGGACATGGCTACAGAACTCTTAACATCCTGCAGGAAATGGTGAGGAAGGTTTTGAACCAGCTGGCAGTTAAAATTAGCCCCTTCATGTTAACCAGCTGCTACATGTTAATGCATCAATAATAATAATAAATACTATAATATAGCACTGACAGGGGCCATTCAGCATGATAACTCAATATACTTTTGATACTTAATGTGCATTGTACTAACACTTCATTACTCTAACTTAAGTACATTTTTGTATACTTGTAATATAGTGTCTTTATGGTCTGATATTGCTGCTTTTACTTTAGCAAATTGTATATACACACTCCCATTACTCAATGTCGGAAAGAGGCTGTATAATGTCCTTAATACCGCAATCTCCGTCATCACCTCCATCATCATCATCGTCATTATCAGCAGCGTCACAATCATAATAAATGAGCTGTTTTTTAGCTGTTTCGCTGCATAGAGCCCCTTCATTTATCGGCATGCTTGCCTTTCTCTTCCATTTTCCCTCATCATCGCCGGGATGTTTCAGCTGTTGCTCGCAGAAAAGAAATTCCTGACCAGTAGTCAACCTCGACCGGTCAGGTGGCTTCTTCCGTTCTCCGTCAGCGGAGTGTCAACGCGCGATGGGGAGGAACTTAGTCACGATCGACGCACATAGCCGACTCCTACTTTCCATGCGCGTGCTCCCGGCTGATCACGGACGGCAACGTTGCACTGCGCACGCACGCATACACAAAGCCATACACTACGTGTCCGAGCACACCATCCAAGGTCATACTGTCTGTAGCATTTGTGCGTTAAAATGTGTTCACCAGTAATTTCCCCACAGTGAATGAGTTCAAAGGACTTCTCAACGAGGTCTGTATAGATGTGTTTAACTATAATGTAGGCTACAGCAACCCATAGAGTATTAGATTGTGCCTCTTTGAATGAGCTTTTAAAGCTGCGCCAAAGATGCGCCCGTCACACGACATGTGGGGATTATGAAATTGGAAAGAGTTGATGATATTTCAGCCGGTGACACAAATTATTATTAAGATGCCCTCAGTTATTTTATTCTCAAATAATAAAAAATAGACCGGCGCTTGTGAAGTCAGCTTTTATTAGCCCGTCACATGAGTCGACGTTGAATAGGTGAAACTTTTGAAAAAATACTCAAAAGTGCTGTATAGATAGAAGACACACCCTTGTTCTGATGTCCAACCAATCAACCACGACCCAGGCTCGCGGCTGCCTGCGGTCGCCACACACGCAGCCACAGTGTGGAGAGACCGACACGGAGGTGGACGCGGTCTATCTGACGTGAGGGCGCAGACCTGCAAAGTGCGCAGTGACAGAGGAGTAAAAAAAAAAAAAGGCAAATAGACAAGTTTTGTGGGACGAGTAGGCTATCTGTGCGGTCTTCTTTTTCACTGAACGTCATCCTGGTCAATGCTCAAGTTGTAAGTAGGCTACAAGTTTCCAATGGACAGACACTTGGAGAAGGCTGGCGCAACAAGCATGGGATTACTTCTGTAATGTGGATTGCCATTCTTTTGCAAGAAAATAAAGGTCCGCTGCGGAACAATGTGGGACGTTTTGCGTCTTGGATTCTCGTTTTTCTGGATATCTTGAAAATAATTGGCAACAGTTGAGAAGGAAGAAGTTATGCGCAAAGGATTCTATGCTCCGACCCCGGGACCATCATGGATTTGCCATTACAACCCCCTGCCCCTTATTTAGAGAAGTTTTAGCCGGTCCACTTGTGTTGCTATTGTACTTGTTGTTTTAAACTTAATGTTTGAGAACAAATCGCCACTTTGGCCACTTGGATTTTAAATCGTCGCCTGCCTTTGGATTGGATTTCAAACATGAACTTTATTGACAGTTTGACACTATTATTTTTGACGCTGTCAGCTGTCAAGGTGAGTCATGTGTTTCAGAGAGCAAACTGGAAATAACAGCAGAAACATTATTCGACCTCTATTTGTGTATAGCAGCCACTGGTCATTAATGTGTAGCTCGTCCTTGCCTTTCCTCCGGCTAGGTCACAGCTCGTGTTTAAACAAACCGACATGTTTCGTGGCTTTGGGGAGATTTAAAGAGCCATTACGCAAAGCCGACACTATATAAACCTAACCCACACACTCGCAGGTGGTGCACTTTTTGTGTTGCAAATGCGGCACATGTGATGATTATCAAATAATATTGTGAAGTTTGACGCTGGGTGATCGCGGGCCTGCTCTAAAACCTCCTTGGAGATATTATTACGCTTTAAAGGCGCAGTGGCTCCATTCTGAATTAGGACATGAGCAGGTTCATTCCTGTCACTGAGACTACTCTCACGGTTAGCCTGCTTCAAAAAGGAGAAATCCTACTTTTCACTCCGATAGTTAACACTCGGTTTCGGGACAAGACTAGCACATTCCCAGATCCATCAGTTCGACGCGAGAATTGTAATGGCTGTTTAAGAGCGCGCTGTAAATCGTTACCCATATAATCATTAATCAAGTGCAGTGTCCAGGGAGGCTTTGAGCAAAGGTTTCCTAGTGAATTAAAATAACAATACACACCACCTCAATAGGAGTCTGCATTTTTTTCCACCAACGAGATTGGATTTTGAAGGATTATTTCTTATAAAAATATGCAATCCTAAAGGAAGCAAGGGTGTTTCAGTTTGTGACATAGTTCTCTCTCGAGAATCTCACCCTTAAGTTCATGAAATAGGCGCCATGCAAAGTCCAGTAAAGTGTTTATTTACCCAACTGGGTGATTTAATGACAGCTAAACCCGCGATCAACACCGAATAGTTTCAGGATGCTGTCTAGTTGCTCATATCCAGTCGGCCTATCATCGGTTTAGGGGCCGGTGTTCGCAGCTTGACACCCTGCCTAATCATACAGTATATGGGGTCTCCCAGCCCACATTGGACCCGCTCACGCCACCAGAAAGGGGGTGGAGACTCTTTTTTAAAAGAAAAAAACCGTTTAATTAAGGAATGGAAAAAAACTTTCGGTGACTCACTGAATATAAGCCGGTGCTACAGGACCGGGTCTCACGCAATATTGGCAAGATATTGCGCGAGTTGCGCGCCTCTATGAGAGAGCGAGAGAGAGAGAGAGAGAGAGAGAGAGAGAGAGAGAGGGCGCGCGGTCGTGCGCGTGTGTGAAAGAGAGAGAAAGTTGGCAAAATGCTGCTCTGTGGTCGGCTGGTGTGGTGACAGCTACCCCCTGTGAGGGAAAGTAGCAGGCTGAAATTCTTGCCGGTTTTAATGGCGACAGTTGCCAAGAGGCGGCGGAGGCACACAGAGGTTTGGTAACTGAAACAAAAACCATCACAGTCATGCAACAGTGGTAGAAGTTAGGTCGTCTTTGGCACGTTGTACCTCTGGCTAAATATTTGGCCGTATGAGGCCTAATACACTACATTTAGCAGGCTATATGATCATAATTATTAGTATATTATATGAAAAAGCGACTAATAACGGGGTAATCTTTATTTCAGAATGTTGAGACATATTGACAACTCTTGGCTGAACTATTTTTTTCCTATAAATCCAGATGTGGTGAAGGACCAGAATCACGCTCTGAAAACTACATTAATATTTATTTCCAATGCTTATGGAAGACATAGTATGAACATTTGACGCTCATTGCTTCCTTTATTGCGTATAGCCCAAGATATGATACATAATGTGGTTTTCATATTCTGGCAACGGTCAACAGAACATGTCAGAATGTAAATATATGTTTTGTCCAACTGTGGATGAGTAAAGGGCAGGAGCTCTTGCACAATCTACTGTAACTAACAGCTTGTCATTTTTGTCCCTCCTTGCAGAGCGCCCACATACCGAAGGAAACAGAAAGAGGTCCACATGGTAGGTGTCCCACAGGGCACTGTGGGAAAACAGACTGCATGGGCTCCCTTGCTGGCACTCAGCCAAATAGAAACAGGCTAGTTTGAGATCCATCTTTACATTAAAGGGAAATTATCGCCTCCTGGTGGACATCTGCATAGATTGACCTTGTCCAGATTTATCCCCCCCCCAAACTCCCCCTTTTAGTAAATGAGTTCAGTTTCACCCTTAAATCTTAACTCTTGGACATTTTCATCCCGGACAGCATTCCTTCTTGTTTGAGGTTAAGCTGGGGAAATGTTATGGTGACAAGACTCTTTTATAGAATGGAATTTCACCCTCTTGGCCCACACTTTTATTTTGCACAATCCGAGCGTTGCCCAATCTAATTTGGACAATCAGAAGCTGAACTTTGTGATACTGTTCAGGCCCTGTGTATTTGGATTGGCTTCCCAGAGGGCTGTCAGGCAGGCGTTGTTTTAGGCTCTGAGTGATATTTTGGAGGTGTTGTCTGTCTGTGTGCTAATATCTTTCTCAAGAGCAGAACTCCTGCAAAGACTGAGAGGGGATTGAAGCGGGGAAACAGACTATTGGCTATCATAATGGGGCTGTAGGTGAATAGGGCAGAAGCAGAGCTATAAAACACTGATGCAGCGGATGGGGTCCAGATTGATATATAGATAGAGTATTATTGAAATTGCATGTGTGTGTAAAAGTAGATGAATCTCTGTAAACCAACCTTTTCTCAATGGAATAATAGAAAGTAAAACGTGTGTGTGCATGTTTGTGTGTGTTTCATTTCCTCCACTGTGACTTGTGAGCCTGCCAGTGTTTTTGATTCACGCCTCCTTTTAGGTGTGCGTTATTGTCACAGCACTGCACTGTTCAGGAGTCGGTGGTTTAGACTAAAGCTGCCATTTTATAACCCTTGTACACTGTGACTCTTGTCTCCCCAGTGATCCCTTTAATGGAGGTGTACAACAAGAGTTTGTGTCAGCCTCGGGAGCTGCTGGTGGAGATTCTGCAGGAGTATCCGGAGGAGGTGGAGCACATCTTCATCCCGTCGTGCGTGGTGTTGACGCGCTGCGCCGGCTGCTGCAACGATGAGATGCTGCAGTGCATGCCGACATCCAGCTATAACGTTACGATGGAGGTCAGCAGCGATATTTGTTACTACAGCAATACTTCCAGGACGTGTGTGTTCTTTAAATGATACTTTATTTTTTGCCTTTTTACTTGGGCTCTTCATGTACCCATCTGATGTGCCCTTCTGGTCAGCACAAGTCCCCCTCCGCTCAATCTAAATGCCCCTGCTGTTTGCTCACAGGCTGCTCAGGTGTGACCTTTGGGCAAAAATCAACCATATACTTTGCCTTTTTTTAAATTGTCACCCCTCTGCTTCTCTGTGTATGAGGAGTCAGTCTGTTTAAATGTATCATATCATTTCTAGAAGGTAAAGATCTTCTTGAACTTTGCATGTCTTGTTTATGAATTCAAGTTCATTAGTCAAGTCTCCACACAGATGTATTGCAAAATTTCCTCCACATTTCCAGAAAACCAGCAAAAGATAATGCAAATGAATGCACTATCCACTACTTTTATGCAAATAGCAGGACTCGGCACACTTTGGTGCTAATTTTACGGTCGGGTGGCATTAAACCATTAGTCTTAGTCAAACCTCAAACTGTTCAAAACAATGTGCAAAATGTGATGGAAATTTAGCATTTATGTTTGTTTGATGTGTTAATTTGAGGAACTTTGCCATCTCTTCCGTTTTCATTCCGATCAGTGTAAGAATTCATAATGTGAAACTTATAATGAATACTATTAGAACCTATTTTTCTTGGGTTCGTATCAAAAACTGAACCTTAGTGACCTTTCTGTGTTACGTTTTGTTGATTCTTCTCCATCTGTTCTAGTCTATTTCTTGAAAGCTATGATAGTAACAGTTTAAGACTGTAGATCCACGAATATTACATTCAAAACTGACAATTTCTCTTCTCTTTTTTTTTTACAGATTAAAAGAATAAAACCCCATTGGCAAGAAAATGATATTTTCATGAGTTTTACAGAACACAGCGCATGTGAGTGTAGGTAAGAAACCCCGAACTCACACTGAAACACGCACAAAGTGAATGAAATACTAACTGATGTACGTTGGTGTGGCAGAGCAGAGGTTCAACCAAACACGTCATGTAAAGTTATCGTCTTGTCTGTTTGCCTCTGACACATTCAACAGATGTGTATCAGGTGGAGTCATATCTTGCCTTTGCTTCTTTAACTTTGCTGATCGTAAAAAAGACCTGAGCTGGTTTAAGCACATCCCAGCAAACATCCTCCATATTGCTTTAGTGTATCGTCATTCCATCGTACTTCTCAAGCAAAGGAGATACATTTGTGTGAATACAGTGCTACCGAATCCATTGTTTTTCCTGTTTGGCGTGTGGAGGTCGCTCCAGGAACTACGAAAGTGTGATAGCTTTAGTTATTGATCTCTGAGATAAGAACTGTGTGTCCTTTTTGGGGCCTCCAGTCGCAGTAAGGTGACATCTACTGGTTGGACTTGTTGTGCAATGATTATTACATTTTATGGATCAGTTTGTTATTCCGTGTTTTGTTTTGATAGGCAGCTAATATAATCTGTCAAAGCCCTGTTGTAAAAAGAGATAAGTGCTGCAACTTAATGTGGAATTAGTGGCGTCTTCTTTCTGTGCTGGAGTTTAAGCTCGACTAGCACAGCAAAATCGGATGGTTCTCAGAAGTGAAACAAGGAAAAAAGTAAATATTTCGTCTTCATGTCATCTTCCTCGAATGATCATGTCACTATCCAGGTCAATCATTAGGTCATAAGATGATAGACGTAAGATGCATCACTTCCTGATGTTTGGTAAATCCGATCATCATGGTGGCTGAGATCTGAGCTGTGTGACATGAAATAGTAAACTGTGACACAGCGACACGGATGCGGGACATGCATCATCCTCCCACGTTTAAGGGAAATCTAAAAAGCAAACAAACATTGGAGGACTGTTGGCCGAGGACCGAGATTTCTCTTTTCTGAGCTATTACATCTGAATCATGTCTGTGTTTTGTGCAGTGAGGCTGCAGCTGACTGTCTGGAGAGCCCCTGGTTATAAAGTAATGTCACTCTGAAGTTATTGCTGTCTGTGATGACACAATACTTTGCTGTGAAATCATTTAGATGCAGCTATAAACCTTTTGGGCACCTTCATAACATTTTAGAGGCTGTGATCAATCTATTTTGTAGTTTAAGATGTTTTAATTTACTGTATTGTTCTGGAAATGGTATGCAGGCATTAAGCACTATAAACAGAACATGTCACTGACAGAATTTCCAGTGAGTCCCTCATGTATAGGAAGGCAATCCCAGCTCGGGAATGGCGGACTCCGCCACCAACAATGAAAATCACTATGTTTTTAAATTTTTTGAATTCAACCTTTATTTAAACAGATAAAATCTATTGAGATAAAATGTTGTTTTGCGATGGCGTTCTGGCCGAGAAGGCAGCAAAGTCAAATGTCAAGTTTTCTACAAACAATAAAGCAAAGACAAAACAATACATTACAGAGTAAAAACTTAGGTCAACACATCAACAGAAGAGGTGAAACAGACACAGATAGTGTATGATACATATAGACAAAACGGAAACAACCAAATTGTTATGCATGGTGGCAAGAACAGTTTGTGATTAAAACTTCTGATAACTTTTGTTTAAAAGTGGCTAGCTAGACCGACTCTGGATTGAGTCTAGTCTGCAGATCATTCCAAGACCAAGGCCCTTTATAAATTAGACAGAGTCCCATCAAAACATAGATTGATTCATTAAAATATAAGGATTATACTTTTAACCATGTACATGTAAGTGCTAACAGAAATAAAATCCAATCCTTAGAGTCATTTTGCCTTTAGTACTTTTGCATGACGCTTCAGTACATTTTGTTAAAATACGTTTGCTTGAAGGATAATTTAATTCAGTACTTTTGCTTGTAATTGTAATAGTTTTACATCGTGGTATCGCTACTTTTACTCATGTAAATATGGCACATGTATCTGCCAATAGGTATCAGTCAGCTTCAGATGACATACATATGCACACATACACATATACCTTCAGGCTTTATTTGGCCTTTTCATGTAGAGTTACTGTACCCGTATTTCAAATAGAAACTTGGCTGTGTGTCCGTGACCTCTTTGAATGAAACACAGTTTCCTAACACTTTTGGCCAACAGTTCTCTCCAGAGTGTGCCAGCAGATTTATTGCTCCACGTTCTGTTATCGCAAGTGTCGTCACATGGACGAGAAGTGAAACAAACCTGCCAGCCTGCTATTGTGGTCCTGTTTGTGTGCGTGTGTCTCCATCAGTGAACATTCCCCCTTTGTGTGCCTGTCTACGAGTGTGTGCACGGCATTGTTTCCCAACAAATCCGCTTCATTTACTGAGCGATTGAAAGTGAAAGCTTTATCACAGTTTCTGATACAGGACGATGACGTAACGTGATTTGAAAACAATATGATGCAAGTTTGCCTGTGGCGATAATGGTCTCTGAAGATCTTGATAAGTATCTGTTTACTGAGAAACAACAGCACGCTGTGATCTAATGCCGTCTTCTTTCTTCTTGCCTTTCAGGTTAAAGAAAGAAGTGAAAGAACAGAAAGCAAAGTGAGTACAGCACTCTTTCTGCAAGGAGATTGGGTTGTTTTTTTTTCAGGGGGAATCAATGTGGACTTGAGGTTTGATCTTTTTCCTGTTTTGACCTGCAAACAAACTCTCCCTCTCAGTTGTCTGCATCGCTATATTCTTTCACATTCACACACTCAAACACTCCACAACGATAACATTTAATTAAATGACAAGCTAGTACATGATATCATGTCATGCTGAGATTAGCATGCAGCTCTCAGGTGATAAACACGGGGAATACCAGCTCAGTCCATTCAGGTGAATGAGTGACACTTGATGAGGGCATTGCCCTCTCTATACCTGTCCTTTACACCCGTCCTCCTTATTCTATCTCATCTTTACATTCCTCTCACCTCTTCTTTACTGTTTACATCCCACTTAACTTCTGTTACTCGGGTGACTGGTTGCTCTGATATAGATAACACTGTTTTTGAAGACCGGTTAAACTTTTCTGTTTATGGTTCTTGCTTGAGTGTCAGTGTGCAAAGGGTCATGAAAACTCTTTAATCCTCCTTCTGCGAACAGTCGTTAATATCGCTCCATTGCAGTGGGGGATGTCAGGTCATCTGTCATATAGATAAGTGCTAGTTTTGAGACCTCCTCTTCAACCTTGTCTTCATTGATTACGAGTCTGCAGTCAGTGGCGTGCGTCTACAAAGTCATGGTCTTAGGGTCATTCAACTATCATTTCTGATGCTTTCAAACTTTCATGTTTCATTTTAACGTCGCCCGCTGACCTCTCAGTAGGGACAGGTCTCTGGAGGTATTCCTGCTGTGGTTGTGTAACTGTCAACGTCCACAGGGAAACTGGACCGAACATGAAATAGGAAATTCACGCATTTACAGGAGTTTCATCCTATCCTTATTGGACGGTGTCATATTTGTCATCCAGTCCCAGCTGGGTCTGAACGAGCACCATCGGATGAATTGTCATGGAGTTTGATAAACACGTTGTGATCCCCTCATATGGCTCCATCATTAGGTCAAATGCTCTAGGTTTATGTCTAAATACCTTCAAAACTAATGACATTGCCATCAGCCTCAGCTGCACTTTGTGTGTGATGCTAATAAGTGAATGTTAGCATGTTAACACGCTAAACTAAAATGATGAACATGGTAAATGTTATATCTGCTAAACATCCACATGTTACCATTGTGAATATGTAACTATGCTGACATTAGCATTTAGTTCAAAGAACCTCTGAGCCAAAGTACAGCTTCACTGACTCTTAGCCCTTTTTTTCTGGCCTGTTATCTGGTGGCGGGTTTTTGCCTGCATCAAAGCCAACATGTAAAACCAATATTTCCACAGACTGAGCCAGGTGACTTCCACAACCTGTGCAGCAAACTCCTTGTGTGTTCCAGAATATATATTTTAAACATGACCTTTTCCTCAGGGAAACTTGTCATCATTGCGATCACGAAAATACATTTAAAGATGCAAGCTGCTGCTGGATAAAAGGTAAAAAAAAATTAAAAAGGGGGGAGTGTCAATTAGGATCGAGGTCTGAGTCTATGATGTGTTGAACATATATTCCTGAACATGCCAGAAACTAATCATGGTCGGGTAAAAAGAGTTTTTATCAACCATTACACAGTTTTTCTGCTTAAAAATAAAAGTCAGCATCATGAACTGTATATAGAGTTGCCATCAATGTCCACAGAGGCATTTTGTTTTGCATTTCTCTATAAGTATTACAAAAGTTTTCTGTGTAGTTGTAATCATCTAAGACAGCAAAAGCTTGTGCAACCCAGCTTGTCTTTGAACACGCATCCTGCTATTTTAATCAAGCCTGCACCTGTGAAACTCCAGGTGCTGTTCTCATTGTACTGTGGTCTGAAACAAGTTGAATCAGCCATAAAGAGTTGACCCAGTTAGCTTGAAAGATAAAGTTTTAGTGAAGTCATTGTCCTCTGGGAAATTACAGAACAGCGAACCGAGCCAAACAGACTATTAAATCGCTTACACAGACTGCAAAGACATTGTACTGTTTTACAAAATAGGTTTTTCTATTTTGTATACAAGTTGGACAATAAAGCCATTTCTAACAGGGAACATTTGATATTCATCACATTGACAAACAACAGGGTGTATGCAAACCCCCTACAGTAAGCTGTGGGTGTGTCTTTAAACCTTACAATCTACAAATCAGGACACACTTTTGAAGTTGCTTCTTCATTTAAAAAGTTAATTTTTAGTTAATTTCAACAGCTTAACAAAAGAGTGGTGTTTTTTTCTGCTGTAATCTTTGAATTCAAGATAGCAAACATTTAGACACATCACATACACTCATGTGAACACTGCCTGACGCCTTTCTCATAACATGATGATATAGGTTATCATTCCAAACAGGCCAATCACTAAAAAATAATCAAATTAAGGAATAACCTGTTTTGAATGACTGATAGTTTGGCTCTTTGATTTATAGAAAAGATAAAAGATTGCTATTCATCAGTGTTGGTTGTCAGTGTAGGCCTTTCTGAATGAATTGGCCCATCTCTCCTCAGTCTTTCAGGCATCTCTCTGCGTTGTTGTTCTCTTTTCTCTTGCAGAAAATCCCGGAAAGTCAAGGGTAAAGGCCAAAAGAGAAAACGAAAGAAAAACCGCGACAAAACAATTCACGATGCGTATGTCAGCTCCGCCTTCTCCACCTACCTGCACCTGAGTGTTGCACTTCTCATAATTAAGCTCATTTGGGAGGAGCTCATTTGCCCTTTTTAATTTGCACCTTTAGCAACATCAACTAGCATGTCGCTTCTGTGTATTGTCCTAACTTTGTCTCGTCAGTCATGTTCCACATACTCAGAATATCAATGTCTAAGCTGCCCTGTTTGCTAACGTTGTTTTGTTGACGTAGCCTTCGCAAAACCTTACATAACCAAGGAAGTACAGCAGACCTGTCAGCCATATCCCACATCACTAGAGATGAACCATGACCCATCTCCACCCGTCAAAATACCCATGTAATCTCCCCACAACCTCACCAGCTCCCTGTCTAAGGAATATCACTCTGTGCGGGTGAGACTGGGACCTTGGTTGGAATGAGATACAGCAGCATATCATAAAAAACAGGACAAACTTCTTCTAACATCTTGTCTGATACCAAGTTGTCTGATTGATAATGGACACGTTTAAACTAGGTGATATAAACAGTTCAGCTGTTAGCTGTAACTTGAACCTTTTACTGAAACAAGGTCACAGCTCCACCATCGTGGCTACGCAGACGGGTTCATACTGTTCTGGTATCTGTGCTGGCATCGGGATTGTAATCACGGGGCTGTGTTCAGTGTTGAGTCTGTGCCGCTTGGCTGTGTCTCGTACCCGTCTCCTTTCCACGCTTTCTTCTTTTCATCTTTACAAACAGGTTTTGCCATCATGTGCATAATGCTGGTACTTTTTATGTAATGTAAAGATCTGGGTGATGGCTATCTAGTCTTTTTTTTTTTGCTCAGGGGGATATGCAAACAAATTGTTTAACAAGTACTGTTTTGTTTCTTTGCCTGCTTTTGTCTCTGAAACTATACAAGAGCACCCATATCTTATTCAACAATAATATAAAAATGACCTCATGTTTCTCCAGTGCTCGTACTGTGAACTACTACGTGTCTGTGTGTTAATTTGTAATTTGTACATTGAGATGTATCTGAGCCTTCCTCTGTCAATCTAATGTCCCTCTGTGGGAAGCATAGTTTGCAGTTGTCACTCAATAAAATAAAATGTTTCTTAACGGAGCACCAAGCAGACCCTTGAGTCTTCTTTATCAAGAGTTTTACATTTTTAAGAGTGAGTGCGAGGACCTTGACCCTCAGTTCAAAACCAATATGTGTCGTTTTGTGTTGCATGAAACAGTCCAGAGCTTTGCTCCCTGCATGTCTATCACATACAAGGCATTTGTGAGCGGTCCAATCAAAGAGAGAGGGTTTGGGGGGAGTGTTGGAGGGTAATTTTACTGCTGTATTTGCCTGCTCTTTTGGGAACCTGTGTGCAATACTACCCAACTGTCACATGCACTACAACTTGTGAGGCCGTGGCTCGGAAGAGCAAACTGGAGCTTACGAAAGGGTTGACCAAAGGGTGACCTTTCTTATGGGTGGTTATGGTACACTGTGATAATCATCCTCTCTCTCCCTCCTTCCCATCTCGGTCTGTCTCTTTCTTTCCAGTGTTTGTGAGCCATGTTGTGATCAGTGCTCGGAGAGGAGAAAGCGCTTGTTCGTGCAGGATCCAGCAACCTGCCGGTGCTCCTGCAAGCACACAGATGAATACTGTAAAGAACGCCAGCTAGAGCTCAACGAGAGGACCTGCAAGTAAGTTCTGTCGGATAATAGAGCCAAATGGAAATTGTAACTTCTGACTTCTGTTCCAGAAGTAGGAAAAACTCATAGCTCTACGAAGCTTTATAGTGTCATTGTTTTACAACTTTACCGATTTGGTTGACTCATAAGGCTCGCATCGGTGTCGTTGACGCTGTGTTAAACCCACTTCATGCTACTTGCCCAGCACCAAATGCACTACTAAGTTAGCAACTAGCTGCTGAACATAGTGGAGCATTAAGCTGCTAAAGAGCCAGATACAGTATATCCGTCAGGAGTTGGTGGAGACTAAAACAGAGCAAAAAGGGAGGTGAATATTGGACTTACGTTTGTCAGGTTGTGGCAAAGATGACTCCAAATAAATATCAATGTTGCTCCATGACTCTTGGTTGATGTGTAGTCAACTGCTAACTCCTTTGCCAGAAAAGAAGTTGCAGAGATTTGTGATCCAGTTACACAGGCTAGCGGAATACTGTGGCAGCTAGCATGAATAACATTGTGACTTTGGCTCTTTTTATTCTTGTTCTGATAACTGTTGATTCTTTCCCTCTTGTTTAGATGTGACAAGCCAAGAAGATGAGAGAGGTGGCAGCACCAGATGTACAAGATGAAGGAATATTCTAGATATTTCACGGCACAGCACTTTGACCTTTGAACCGTAAGCTCTTCTTTTCTGTGGAAAGCATTCCCCTTGGACTGTCTTTGAGAGTGAACAATAAGAAAGACTGAACTGAAGTTTCCTCCCACTGTATATCTGTGTGTATATATAGACCATGATAAAAGAAAAAAAAGAGTACAGAATTGTTATGCTGCTACGAAAACAAATAACTAAACCCATCATTTGACAAAAAGCAAATAGCCGCCATGTGGTTTTGCATTTCTATTGGGCTTGTGATGCAGGTGTAGTCTTGTCGTCAATTCATTGTATGCAATTACTTCACTGGATATGAGTCTCTACTGTGGTTGTGTGTCAGTCATAAAATTGCAAAACCTCTCAATCTAAGATATATTTAACTGCTAAAACAGCGGGTGAGGCTGAAGAGGACATGGGAGCGCGCTCTTCTTTCAAAAAACAAAGGATGGATTTTCATTGGTCGATTTCTGCTTTTGCTTTTGGATTATAACAGCAGGACAACCAGGACAGCTGAATCTGTCTTGACATGACGTTGCAGGACTGACATGGACTTACACAATGTCACCATTGTGATCAGCTTGCAGAAGAAGTGACTCCGGAGTGCCATATACTTTTAAAGGGATACTGGTTGTCAATATAGCATCCACTGTTTTGCTATGTCCTTCATGAAAACCACTGAAAACATCCTATACTGTAGTTTGATTCCATTTGAAAAACTGTGCCTCACAATATGTACTGAGAAATCTTTCAAGTGCTTTTTAAATTATTTTTTGTGTCCTTTTTCAGGAGAGGGGATTGTCAAAGTAGTTTTGTTAGTTGTTGAACTCAATACAGAACCCATTGATTGCATATCTTCATCTCTGAACTTGTACATACTTAATATCCCTTTATGCCATAGTCAATTCTAGATAATTTATAATGTTATAGAGTATTTTTCAGTATTCAGTCTTCTACCCATATTTAATTTGGTTTATTTATATATGCAGTGTTATGTTCCTGTGGCTGTCCTATCTCCCCACCATGTGTAAGGTCACTGATGGCTGCTCTCAGCATGGAGCCTCTCTGTGCTTTTCTACGAAACCAACTAAAAAACAAGTCAGAAAATCGATTTGTTAACATTCCCTAAATGGATCATTTGTACTGGTGTACTGATGACAAACCTCCTCCGGATTTTTCAACCCCTCTTATCTAAGGGTGTGGGTGCTGTGTAGGATTTTAACATGCTGTGTGTTTGTGAAAATGTGTGTGTATGAGTGTGTCTTCACATGCATTTGCTGATGTACACATCTGTATGGAGTTGTTAGTACGTTGTATTTTAGTATTTAAGTAAGTAGCGGACATGTGTTTTGTCCGTCCTGCAACATGCAAATACGAATAAACTACTGCTAGCAGCTCAGCATACACTACCACAACAACAACACCGTTTTAAAGTTAGATACCAATCTGCATCCTTTCTGCCGTCAGTCATAGACCCCTCATTATTACTTCTCTTTGTCTCTCCTTCACTATTAACATGTTTTCTGTGTCTATGTAAAACAGTAAAGCATATTTATTTTCAAATTATATTGTTTTTATATAAAATAAGGAAAAGGTTGCTGTGTTGTGAATGCTGTGTTTTCAAGAGCTTTAAAAAGGCAACGTGAGTTTTCCATGTTTTTGTGCGTCAAGCTGATGCTCACACATCTGGTAAGAATAACGCAACTCCCTCATTCATTCCAATGAAACCACTGCGTTGACGCAGCAGACCTGTTCTCACTTCCAACTTGTCAAAGTTGGAAGTGGTTAGTGCGACCTCGGCGTCAAATACATACGCACCGGGGGGGCACCCATTAGTGTCTGTATGAGACGCACCAGGTTTTCAACTAACTCCAATTTAAACCCCTCTGTGTCATCATTAAAGACATCAGAGTCACTGTCGTAGTATCTGCAAAAAAGTCCACCTGGATAGGTTAAACAAACACAGGACTTTCACCCAGGAGACTTCCGTTTGTGTCCTGGGTGAAACAAAGCCTGCATTGACTTATTTTAGCATAATTCTTTTACGTTACTTAGCCATCTTAATGCCAGTTAAGTAATTTAGCGACCAAATACTTTTGTTGCTTAAGTAAAGCCTAAAAACTAAGCAAACCCACGTTGGAAGTTTAATTGCCAAAGGCCACTGATTTAGCACCGGTATTATATATATATATAAAACACTGTGTTTGGCAACCAAGTACATGCAAGAGCATATTTCTAGTAGATTACTTTGTGCCATAGAAAGGGTGATTCTACAATTAGTACTTCCAGAATCTTACCGTGTCTTTTTAATTGGTGAGTCATTGTATAGGTGGCCATCAGCTAAACTACCTCCATGCGAGGCGAATGACACAATATTTAATTGCATCAAGAAACAATGCAACTTGCCTTGTTAGAGTGAATGCTTTCACTGCAGCGTTGGGCTACCACCTCTTTTGGCCATTTCCCCAAACCAGAATTCTTCCTGGAATCCAGGAACCTTCAGGAACTCATATAGATTACCTGTAAAAAATAAAAAAATTTCCTGGAACATGTTTCTAATTTTGGTACATGAGCTTCACGGCCTGCCACTTTACTAGATCTTTCCCACAGTCCCTCTTTTCTTGGTGAAGAAATTTTCACTTTTTCAGGAATTTCAACACTTTCCGCATGTATTGTATGACAAACCTGATACCTGTAACCTCCTAGCGAAAACAGACTCTTTCCAGATTATCATGTCACCTGTTCCACTTTAGTTCATCTGGGAGAACAAAGAGCAGTTTTAGCTAACGGGGCATGGGATTAGTGACTTTTTCAATGACACTGCATCGGCAGCTGAGCTCTTGGCCCCTGGACCAAATCTAACCCTTATGAATGTAGATTAAGTGGAGGTTTTTGGATCTTTGGCCATGTTTGTTTTGAAACTCGCTCCCTCTTATCCCCATTGCTTGCTGCTTCCCGCTGGATTAGCTCCTGCATGGCGCTAATGCTCTGCTGTGCTCTCCCCGACTCATGCTCTTTACGTGCATACCTAAATTTAAAGCACACCATATAATCCCTTAAATTGTGGCGCCCCATTCATTGGGCAAAACACCCCAAAGAATGTCATAAACCGTCTAATCTGTTATTTACCAGGAACCCAGAACCCAGCGAGCAAAGCTAGCAGCCCGTCGAGTCCGTTAGCTAAACTGATGGATGGTTTAGGATGTTGAAATGTAAAAAGCATCAAAGAGAGGGTGGTTATTTATTTTTTGTGAGTTTGATGCCACCAAAGAAGCATATACATTTTGAAAAAGAGGCTTTAAGATATATAATATATATATATATTTTAGTTTATTAGAAGAAAACTCCACCGTGCACATCAGAGATTGAATCACCAGTGGCAAGCAGTATGTGTGTATTTTTGTGTGTGTAAAGGCTACTTCACTTTCCTTTCTATGGCAGTTCAAACAAGTCTTATAACTCCTTGACTCCCATTTGGACATTGTCGCATGTGGTAGATTATAAAGAGAATAGGGTGGGAAAACGTGACTCATTATTCATCAGAGCCTGTGTTCATATCTGGGTAAAGTTTAATTGAAAAGAGTTGAATGTAATCAGTCATGTGCCGTTAGCCAATGATGCAACGCTGTTGCTGTTGAAGCAACTTCAAAACTCCCAAAAAGTCAGAGCTGTTTCCAATTTTCTTGAATTTTACTTCAGAGATTTTGGACAGCTAGTAATGAGATCAAGCAAACACAAATATAAGACCACTTCTGTTTGTTATTTTATGTGTGGCTCTATTCAGCACATCCCGTCGATAGGGATCTGCATATCAAGGGGCTTTCAATGAAAATAAACCAATAAAGCCAGCATTAGGCAAGCACAGACTCCTGCACAAATAGCACCAATGTCTGCTCTGATGCAGGCAACCCATGGAAAGGTCGTCAAACTCACCAACAATTAGGAAAATTAAAAGACAGCAAAGAAGTGTCAAGAGGGCCTACAGACCAGAGTTTCTGGCTGATAATGTCAGCTGAAAAGATGTCTGCATTACATCAAGGAAGGATCAGATTGCCATGGGTGTACAGTTCCCTGCCTCTCTTAAGCCCTAAAGAAAGGGGTGTCCTCACACCCTGATTGCCCAACAGGGTGAATGCACCAAGCTGCTCTCAATTCCTAATTAGGAGCCAGTCCCTACACCCCCAACAGGTGATCTGAATAACCCTCCAATCAACTCAGGAGAACTGTGACAAACATCTCAAATAAATTGAAGAACGAGGGACTGCTACAGCGTGATTGGGGTGTAATGCTTCTGTGTGTCTTCTAAATGTGTTGGATCTTGGGTCTTTTTGTCAGCTGACAGAGCAAGTTAGGCGTTTGTCATATTTTGTTCCTGGTTGATTTTTTGGTTGATTACCATCAACTGGAGCACGTTGCCTTGTTTGTCTCAGAAGCGTTGCTGGTTTTTCTTTTCGTCCCCATTAGACACTTTGAGTATACTGCGCTTCAATAAGTAATTTAATACATTGTTAATATGATAAATAAAAGACAATACTAATGGTAAAAAATGTAAATGTTTCTCCATAACTTGCACTATTTAGTTTTCCATATCAGTTGGCTATGCAAGGCTTACTCGTTTTTAGTGTATTTAAAAAAAAAACAAAAGGATATGTAATGTCCAAATCCAGACAAACAAAGACTTGTTGCAATGTCTCTACAGCTGAAGAGTTGAGGTCCAAGAAGACACAGGATCTGATTTATAAACATTGTAAGCAGAAGGATGGAGTTAAAAAGTAGAACAATGGAAGCAGGTGTAGTTGGATCTGAGGCAGGCGACGTGCGCCCAGGCAGGTAAATTACTCCACACTGCTGACGTGTAAACCCATAGAAACCTCGACTCGGCAAAAACCAATCCCTGATGGGTGTCTGCAGTGTAGTCAGGCGTGATGTGTGCTCACTCACACGTACTATGTCTTAAAGGCTTTCGATCTATATTTACCCACATTTATGACTGATTGTGACACTGAAAAATATTCCCCATGAGTCATGAGGGAGGGAACCGGAGATGGAAGGAGGGAGGGAATTAGAATAAGACTGAAATCAGTTTAAAGAGGGATCAGTGGAGCATGGTGGAACAGAGACTAATTGAGCTGAAGGGGGAGAATTAAAGAGGATAAAAAATGGGATGGAGGAGAGTGTGATTGAGAATGGATAAGGTGGAGAGCTAGGGGGGGATTTTGCATTAGAGTCCACTCACTCATGTGTGTGATAATTTGTTTGTGAATGAAACAAATAGACAAGGAGTGAAACGTGCAGAGAGAACCTGATATGAGGATGTGATATTTCCTCCTGTCCCATTTAAAAACTGCTGTAAAAGTCAATGCAGAAGGAAACTGTTTTGCAACAACTTCCTCAAACATCTGTAAAACATTTCTGGAGCACTAGTCGACTGGTCAATTGGAGTTTTGCCGGAATAGCTGCACCCACTCACCCCTCACATGGGCGCAGTCCAGCTGACACTCATTACCACAGCATTACCATTCACTGGGCATCTGAGAATGTGCTTGTGTTTGTTTGTGTATTTATGTGCGTATGTATTTGCAAATGGCAGAGATTATTGATCCGTTGGACAGCATAAAAGTCCTCTTTTTGTTAAAATATGTTCCCCTCTTACTCTCTCTTTCTTTGTGGCCTATATTCAAGCCTTCCTCTCAACTTCAGTGCAAAGTAGAAATCTGTGCACCTCTAAGCTCTCTAATTAACACCCTATCCTGTTTGTTTAATCCGTACAAAAAGTGTAAAACAGCATGTTGTGGGGTTTTTCTGCGTGTTACGTGTCGTTGGCCGACTCAAGGGCAGGAACCCTAAGCGTATTTCACAAAATGTCAAACTATTCATTCAAGTATTTGTAACACAGAACAGTTAGTGATATTTAATCAATCCCCTTCTAGAAATGCTCTTTGCACCCTGCCTCTAGTCAGAGAGGTGCTTGAGCTCAGGATCAGGAATAATCTTGTCTTGCTCAAAAACACTGCAGGGCACTGACTGAGTATATCTGAACCCAGAATTATGCGATTGTAAGACACTTGCAATGCCACTTATCAGCTGTTTTGTAAAGTAATTTGAGGGCATTGTAGTTTGAAATACTTCTGCTGTTTATCTGCGTGATCTGGGGGAATTACTGCAGATCAGGCAGAAAGGAGCTGGATTTGTGTTGTGTTTTTTCATATTGGACAGGCCCAGCCTTGTTAGAGAATCCAAAAGGACTCAGTGTTTAAAGAAAAAGAAAGAAAAAAAAATTGGCAGAGCTATCCAACTCCTGATCAACCACAAATTACTCAAATTATGGGGTGGAAGCTGATTTGAAAAAGCATGAAATTTAAGGATTAAATTAAAGATCAACACTGTCTTACTCCTTCATTCGCCCAAAATTAAATCAATGATTTAAGGGTCAGGGATGCTGGCAAATGAGGGGTTTTTTTGCTGAAAGTGGATAAAAGAATGTTCTCATAGTGAAACTTGACTCTTATAATTCCAAAGTCCAAAAGGGACTTTTGACATCTCTGTGCATGTGCGTGCATGCACGTTATTGTTTGGCTTCTTATCAATCTTACTCAGTGTTAATCATCAGAATGCTATATAAGAAAATGGACACCCATCCT